ACCCTAGGCCCTGCTTATAGACCCCTCTCCTGTCTCTCCAGTTTCCAACTGCGAAGCTCCTTAAAGGGGGGGAGGGGGGAGGGGGTGCTGGCCTCCCCCATAGTGGGGATGGCGGCTGGGCTAATTTCTCCCTTTCAGACCCAGAATCGAACAGCCCTGGGACCAGTGGCCTGTCCCTGAGGCCACTGCCCCTCCCCTCCCTTGTGCCCCCAGGCCAGGCTTTGAAGAGCGCATTTTACGAACTTTTCCATTTTCCTAATGGAGGCGTGTTTGTTCTTCTCAGTCACCTCACTTTTTTTTTTTTTATGAGCTTCAGAGCTGATCTGCACGTTCTTCCTCCGTGTAATTTCAATTTGGACTCTCCCCGGAGCGGCCTTTTCCCTCTTGTTGCCTGCCAAATCGTTTGAAGGCTGCGCAAACATTCTTCCTCCCTCCCGTGCCCGCGAATCTCCGTCTACACCCGAGAGGGAGGCGGAGGCGGTTGCCCCGAGAGTTCTGGGGGGTTGGAGCCTTTCAGCAGCTGCCTTCAGACGGATTGGGAGGAGGAGTTGGGGGAGGGGAGGCAGAACATTCAAATAACTGTTCCCCCCTCCCCAGCTCTTCTTAAGGTTTAAGAGTTGTGTGTGTGTGTGTCTGTGTCTGTGTAACATTCCCTAATTCATATTCAGTCTTGGAAACAGAGGTAGTTGCACATGGATTAGGGTCCCAGTGAAGTAAGCTCGCTAAGCATCCTGCACATAACATTGATCAACTTGTTCATTTTTCAGCTGGTTTCCTGGCAATGAGGTGTTATCCCCATTTCACAGATGAGGGAAACTGAGGTTGAACCACAAGATCAGTTTCTCAGTCACTTTGTTGGAATTCAAATCCAATTTTGCATGAACACTGCCCATAACAAAAATTACCATTACTTATGGCTTAATATAGCATTAAGTATTCATAACAGCTGCCCGTAAGTAAGCACCTTCTATGTGCCAGGTACCGTTGCAAGCCTTCTACTCACTTTATTTCTCCCATCTGTATGAATTACCTACTTTCCACATGACAGATGGGAAAATCGAGGCACAGAGAAGTTGTCACTCAGCGAGGAAGAGCGGGAGTCAGGATTCGAACCCAGGCTCAGGCACTCCTAACCAGCAGCATTTATGCCTCTGGGAGAGTCTTTCTGAGCTCTCTCCTGAGTCTCAGGAAAGAAATCCCAGGCTTACTGGACCCTGGGCTGCTAATTCCTCCCGAGGTCGCACTGGGGACAAACAGGAAGATGGGAGGGGGGTCAGAGGGGTTGCATAAGGCGGTGACTTCAAAGGTGGCCACCACCGGGGTGCGTAGCCTTGGCTCCGGGCGGCTAGCCAGGGGCGCCAATCTGCAAGCCCAGGGCTATTCACCCTCCGACTCTGACCGGACCTCCTCCTAGTTCAAGGGCGGAGGAGGAGGCAGTGGAGGAGACGAGGGAGTAGGACTGAGGTGGGAGGTCTTGAAATTGAAGGTGGAGGACAGATTAGGTGTTGTTAATGAGTTAAAATAATAATAGCAGCCAGCATTTACTATACGCTATGCAGGATAAATCGTTCTTTTCTTATGTTAATACCCTCCTGGTAGGGACTTAACAATTTAAAAGGCATAGAGAGGTTAAGCCATTGGATCCGGAGTCACAGAGCCGGTAAAGTAGGGAGTCCAGAACTCCAGCAGGGAGGAGGCTCTCGGTGGGGGCTCGGTTCCTGTAAATGTGGCACATTTGGGGCAAGCGGGGTGTGACTTTCTCTGATACGAGCTGTAAAGTAGAATGATAGCATCTCAGGGCGGTCAACCCAGCCGCCCTCCAGATGGGAAGAGGAGGCCTGGAGAGACCTCCAGACCCTCGTCCAGTCAGGAGGAAAACAGCAGTGGAACAGGGCGTGCTGTGCCTTGCCACCTCCCTCCCAGGCCGGGGCACTGGCCACAGCTGCGAGGAAGAAGCCAGGGAGGGCGTGGCCTGAGAGAGCCTGACACAGACCTTGGTTTTCCTTATCTCCCGAACTTACTGTGTGACTTGGTGCAAGTGGACCAACCTCTCTGGGCCTGTTTCTCCAACTGCAAAGTCATGGTGGAACAGGGGTTAGAGTATTTGATTGCCAAGTCATTGGTGATCATACTAGTATGTTCTCAGAAGCTCATGAGTTCCCAACCAAAAGGCAGATTCAGTCCCCAAACCCGGTCCTGTGTGGGGCGGGGTGGCGGGGGCTGGAGGGTGAAGGGCTTGGCTGGAGTCGGGGTCTCTATGATCAGAAGCTTTGCGTGCTAAGCCTGCATTGTCCAACCAGGGCAACGTCCCACATGGAGCTGGTACACCCCCACTCTCCCACCCTCTTCCTCCTCCTCAGTATTATTATTGCTATTATTTAAGGGCTATACTTTGGCTCCTCCTGTGTGTGACTTGTGTTGCAGTTTACAGTAGAAAGTCTGAGCTCAGAGAGGTGAAGACACTTGCCCAAGTTGCTCAGCCAGTAAGGGGCCCAGACACAGAGAGGAAGATGGGTAAAGAGGCAGAGGCAGAGACAGGGAGGAAGCGGAGCGTGCAGAGGCCGCTGACGGAGAGGAGAAAACTCCCATCGCCCATCTCCCTGCCCGAACTCTGGCACCGAGGTTCCCCCCACCCCCGCCCCCCCTTGAGAGGATCCAGGACACCCAAAGCCAGAGTCCCAGGAAATGGATTGTCCCTGCATGGATGGTATCACTTTGCTGTGGTCAGTGCCCCACAGAGATGTGCTTTGGGCTGATTGATGGAGATAGTGCCCTTCCTGGTAGCTGGGGTGGGGGGTGGGG